TACAAAAGTAATTTATTCAATAAATAAATGGACAGAGAGCACAACCCCCCCAATGTTAGACCTAAAGTTACGCCCTTGAGTGAGACAGCCTTATGCCATCAAACTGAAACCAGATGCTCAACCATTCTCATTAAAGACACCCAGAAGGATTCCACTTCCTTTGATGGATAAAGTCAAGCAAGAACTGTCCCGCATGGAAAGTATGGGTGTGATCAGCAGAATTGAAGAGCCGACTGAATGGTGTTCAGGAATGGTGGTTGTTCCCAAAAAGACAGGTGCTGTACGCATATGTGTCGATCTCACAAAGCTGAATGAGTCTGTATGTAGAGAGAAGTATATTCTTCCGTCAGTGGATGAAACAATCGGTAAACTGGGAGGAGCTAAAATCTTCAGTAAATTAGATGCTAATATGGGCTTTTGGCAAATACCTTTAACTGAGGAAACAGCAAAATATACAACCTTCATTACTCCTTTTGGTCGTTATTATTTCAAGCGGCTGCCCTTTGGAATAGCGTCTGCCCCTGAGCATTTCCAAAACAGAATGGTAACAGAGGTCACAGAGGGGCTAGAAGGGGTGGTATGCCATATGGATGATGTATTGGTGTGGGGAGGAACCCAAAAGGAGCATGATGCTCGTCTGCATATCGTTCTTGAAAAGATTCAAGACGCTGGTATTACACTGAACATCGATAAATGTGATCTTTCAAAACGCACTGTAACATTTTTGGGCCACGTTATCTCTGCAGATGGAGTTAGCCCGGATCCTGATAAAGCAGAAGCTGTGAGAAAGATGAAAGAACCAAGAGATGTGAGTGAGTTAAGAAGCTTCCTTGGGATGGTTAACCAGATGGGGAAGTTTATTCCACGGTTAGCAGAGCGAGACAAACCTTTAAGGGATCTCTTGTCTAAGAAAAACTGTTGGATATGGGGAGTGGATCAGGCCAAAGCGTTTCAAGATCTGAAAGAGAYGCTTTCATCTCCGCCAGTGTTGACTATGTACGATACCAACAGGGAATGTAAAGTTTCAGCAGATGCATCAGCTTATGGTCTGGGGA